TTTAGGCAATTTGACAAAGTGAGTTCGATATTCATACGATTAAACACAATATCGATAGCATTTTGCTTAAAAGAGATGCCACATAGTTTGCAAACAAAAAAATTTGAAATTATACCAATTAAATTTTAAAAATTCTAACATTGCCTAAAAAGGACAGATTTCCGGATAGAAAAACGTAAAAAAGGACAGATTTCCGGGCTGGTTTGGCTAAATTGGCATCACTGTCCCTCGCATTTGCGTGCATGTTATCGATAACCGGACGTCGCTGCTTATCGGTAAATGTCGAATAGGCAAGTGAAACTAAAAATACTAGACTGTAGGCGCAAAATTTACTGGGTTCGATAATTATACAACAAATATATAGCTTATAATTGAACAATGCAAGGCTCAATTTAGAAACGCATTTAAAAGCCATGCCATTGGTAACTGGAAATCGAAAGTGAATTTCAATTTATTAAGTAATTTGGGTTCGAACACGAAATGCACATGCATCTAATAATTAGATTTTAATTTGATTATTGGTGGCTGGGCTGTGTGGCGACTACTGGGGTGGTGCGGTACTGGAAGTAGTGCTGCCCGACTAAAATGTTTGGTACTTCAGGGCTTGTCGCAGAGTCATGCAGTCGACCTCGTCGATCTTGCAGGTGTTCGCCTTAATGTTGATCTCCTCCTCCTGCATCACCTGGACGTGCATCAGGTACCGCATGGATGCCTTGTTCTCGTTCAGCTTCTGGTTGAGCTTGCAGACGGATGCCTTCAACGCCTGCAGTTCGTTGTAGAGCGCATCCTGGACCATATCGCAGGTCAGCTCCAAGCCAGGACGGTGGGCACGATTGCTGAGCCGCGTCTGGCACAGGGTAATGGCCCTCTGCTTGTCCATCATCTCCTTCTCCAGCTCGGTCATGTTGCGCTGCACCTGATGGATGTGGTCCATGGTGTCCTTGTGCTTGTTCTCCAGGCACTGCTTCACGTGCTTCGTCTCCGAGATCCTTCGCTCGAAGGCCTCGTTTGTCCTGTCCGTCTGGTTCTGCATGTCCTCGCAAACCTGCTTCAGCAGCAGATCGATGTATGCCCGAAGCTGCCCGGCGGACACCAGAGCCTTGGCGTTGGCCTCCAGATTCTCGTACGTCTGCGCCTGCCACTCGGTCAGCGAAAATTGGCTGGGAAAGAAGGTGGAAGGTGGGTGAAGGCATAGCGAAAGTCAAGGAGTCATGGCAACTATCAAGTCGATTTATATGCTTGCAAATAAATCACTTAATTCCAATGCATTGAAATAGTCCCCGGACAACTGTATCCAATATCTCCTAGGAAACTGCGGTTTCATTGTTAGGTTTGACCTTCCTCAATTCGATACCTAACTGAAAAGGGGAACAGCTACTTGGCTGTGTAATGGAATTTATAGGTAAGCTTATAGTCCTTGTACTGGGGCGGAATGAAAGTGGGAGAATATTTCAAATCGACCTACCTAATTATTCCCTAAGAAGAAAACCCCTACCTTTGTGATTGACATATAACCCAGTTTGCAAACACCTACCAGTGCTGTTTGGACAAATCCTGTCCCTTAGCCAGGTCGTGCTGGAACTCCTTGAGCTTCAAGTTCTTCTCGTCGATGGCCAGTGACTTATCCTTGGCGGCCAGATCCTGATCCAGCAGATAGATGGCGGCGCGCAGCTTGCGGATCTGCTCCTCGGCCTCCTTGAGGGCGGCATCGGCCAATCCCTGACAGCCCTTGATCACCTTGAGCTCACGGCGCAGCGAACGGTCCACCTCGTCGTCGCACAGGTCCACCCCGATCCGGCCTTCGCGAAGGATCAGGCACTGCTTGCAAATGGCCAGCGACTTGTCCTTGAGGAACTCAATGCAGTTCAGCACCCGATTGCGATAGGTGTTCAAGGCCTCATCCTCCAGAGCGGCGGTCTTCTTCTGGCGATTCAATTCGTCCACCAGGAATCGGATTTCGCTCGTCCGTTCGCGCATATGGTGTTCCACCTCGCGTTGCCAGTTCTTGGTGGTGTCCTTCGTTTCGTCCACCACGCGACGCGATTCCCTGGGATAAAATAGGGTCACCAACTTGAATCCGCTCCCAATGAAACACGGCAACCGCCCGATATACTCACTCCACGATCCGTTCGGCCAACTTCTCCTGGTCGCAGGTGATCCGAAACTTAATCTTGTTGTTATAGTCCCAGTCCTCCTCGGAATATCTGGGCGGGCACTTGGCCACCGGACCCAAGTGCTTACCGGCCAGCTGCAGGCCGCTGATGCGGCGCGACTTCAGGTTGGGCAACATGTTTCTGTGTGGGATTAGGTGCGATTAAGATTGCATAAGAAGCTCATACAAAATATATGCAGGGAGCGCTTGGCAAAAGGTGAAACTGTCAGAGCAAATCTCTACACTCGATTGTACCCACCTGGCACACTTCTCGAGACCGGGCAGGAAATCGTATGTACCTGGCTGGCTGGCTGCCTGGCTCGGAATCTCAGCCGGAGTCGGAGGAGAGTCGCTGGCGACCTGAGTGGCCTGCCCTCCGCTCCCGCGGGCATGTTAAATCGATTCATGCTAGGGAATTTACGGTTGCCTAGCGGTATTTATTGTTATGTTGCCGACTAACCCCCCATCCCCATCCCCACCGAACACCATTCAGCATACACTGCACAAAATGAAGGTGTTTAACCTAATACTACGATCCCGCGAATGATAGCTGAAGTACACCTCACACTTATATGCGTCTGCGTATATATGAGCAACTATCATATATCTTAGTGTGATAGACGTAGTACGATAATTGGATTATGGAGGACGCACTTTATGCCCCTAGGCTGCTCCTAGGCTCCTTTCCGCTCAGTGTACCAATTCCATACGACAGTGTGCATGTGCTTGTCCAATGCGCTTGTGCCGTGTGTCACCTGGCAGTCAGTCCAATTGGGCACACAGCGCTCAAATCCGCCGAAGGAGCCGCCGGCGGTGCCGCCAGCGGCTGCTCCTGCACCTTGCGGTCCCGTCTTACGGCATGTCTATAAATAGTCCAGTTTTCCCCTTTCGACCGCCGGCGGCGGCGCCTCCTCCTTGATCGATTTATGCTAACATACTTTCGCTTTTGCGCCTCCGTCTTTTGACTTGGAAGCGGTTTTCGTACATTTGAATTTATTGCAAAGTTTTTGCCATTAATTATGCTAATCAATTGCCATTCGCGTGTCCAGGTGGCAATGCCTGAAAATAAAGAACCGCCGATGATTGGTTTTGGCATTTGAAATGGCTGTCCACAAAAGGCACTAGCAAAAATTGAACCCACTCGAATTGATTGGAGGAAACAACTAAGCAATTAAATAATATTTACATTTCACTTTCATTTACAAGCTCATATAAGGTTTCCAACTTAAAAATGTTCTTTTGCTAAGAGACATTTAACATTATATCCAGCCTTCAGTGGTTCTCAAACCTCCTCAGCACAGTTTGAGAGCCGCTGACAAGCCCCCATTTTTCGGTTGACGGCGCTTAAAAGCTCCGAAAGCTTCGCATTGAGACCCCCAAAACAAGAATTTCGTTTTTTTTTGTAAAATTAAGTTTTAATATATTACGATACACATTTGCCATATACATCTTTATATCCACATAGTCGCATATACGCACTGCGCTTACAGCTAAACGATAGAAATGTACAATTTAATTAACTAGGATCTCTGGCTGTCGACGTTGCAATGCTCGCTTTGTATCTTTTGGATTCTCGCGTTTCGTGTTTCGTTTGGCTTCAACGATCTTATGGCTTATGGCAGCTCTCATCCAGAACTCTTTATCGACTGGGCTATTTCGGTGTGCAATTAGAGCCGCTTAAGTGGGCCACGCCCCCTTTGGACAGTACTTCCGCCTACAAAATACAAAATATCTATAATCAAGCCTTTTGTTGTCTCGCTGCCTCAGTGGTTTTCGGTTTTTTGTTTGTTTTATGGCTTATTAACAGTGAACTTTGAAATTCTTCGAATCCTATGCTGGCCGTAGCTTCAACTCGGGGATGAGTCCATTGCGGAATCGGGTGACTGGATAACTAGTGGGTTCACTTAGCCGGACTGTACAGTTTGGGGCACTTGGCCTGAACCAGATCTTGGTTGTTGGAGCTGCGCACCCTGGCAATGTGAGCTTTGAACGGCAGATGATCTGTGCTGGCGGATCTGTTTCAATTGGTTAACTTGGCTATCTACGAAGTGGTGTAACTCTCTGCACTTAGTGTGGCTGCTGTTTTGGTTTCGCCCATGATCTTGGGTCTGGTTTAAATTCATTTACTTGCGATTTGTTTGTTTATTGTAGTTGGTAATAATTTGTTGCTAGTTTTTCGTTTTGTTACTTCTTGCTTCCTCTTGTTTATAGGCAGTGTTTCTTCATATTGGGGTATTTGTTCGTTAGATATTCTCTTCCGGTTCCGGATTTATCTTAGCTTTTTGTTTTGGGTTTTTGGTTTTTAACATATTTTCTTGGCTTTAGCACATGGCTCTGTTATGTCTACTAACAATGAAAATAAGACATTTCCTTCCACAAATGAAAACAGTTTCATTTTTGGTTTTTGTTAGGGTTTTTCATTTTCGTTTCTTATATGTAGGAAATGATTGTTTAATTAAATACAAAATACATTTAGCAGTAAACAAAACCAAACACAAAGAAGTAAGTGTATAATGAAAAAAATATATGTATTTATATATTCTGTTTCCTAATTTCTCGATTTATTTTTTAATAGTTTCTTCTTTCTGTACTTTAGTTGGTAGTTTATCATTTTATTAAGTTCTTTATTTGCATCGCACACTTTTCTTTTTAAGCTGCTTGTAACAAAAATAATTGCTTCTGAGGTATTTATTTTTTGTTTATATAAATATTCTTTATACACATAACCGTTTTAAGTTTTAGGTTTTAGGTTTTAGTCGCTTTCGTTTTTCATAGTTTCTCATGTTTCCTATTCCGTTTTATTTCCGTTTTTATTCTGTAGTTGTCTTGTCTTTTTAAACAATTCAAAGCACCTTTTGATTATATTTGACATCTTAATTTGTTATTTCTGTAGAGATTTAACGTTCTCTCATTCCTTAGGCAAATACAAAAAATATGATTCAGATTGCAAACTGAAACGGAATATAATCAAAGTACATTAATCGATTGCATACATTTTGTATATCTCCTCATTTTGTTTCGTTTATTTTTTAATGCTTTTTATGGTTGTGGCAGCGTTTAGCTTCTCAGTACGCGGTATTTTCTTGTTCCATTCTATTAGCTTGAATCCAGAAATGCAACTCAAATCGAATTAGACCAATTGTAAGGAGCTGACTAAAACAGAGGCGGAGCTCCTCGGGGGGTAGGTCATTGAATACAAATTGGCTATGCGAGCAAGTTGGGCCCAAAAGGAATTTGGGCCACGTTTTCTTTTTTATAATCGAGCTGGGAAACCTTTACTTTACGTTATGTACTTTATTTTATAGTTTACTCTTTAATGCACTAGTTTAGTTTATAATTTACATTTCATTTAAGTTTGTGTTGTTGGCTACGCTGCAGTTGTCCCTAAAAACTAACGTCACTATATGCCTACCGTAGGTGTTCGAAATGACAAAAACAATTGGAAAACTGTTCGAAAACAAAAAAAATAAGCTGTGAAGAACTCAGAAGGTACTCAGTGTCTGAGCCACAAACTCACACGATTCATGTGTAGATTTGTATTTAGAGCTATCTCGCAAGTACAGAACTTTTTCGTTATATAAATGATCTGCGGCTGCTGTCTGTTTCGATTGGCGTTAAATAAGTGTAAAAAGAAAATAAAGTGTTGCGTGTACATTTGAACTAAATTGTGTAAACCTTTTTGCCTATATAAAACATAAGTGTAAGTATAATATTTATACATAAACACGGATAAGTTTGGGGGCTGGTTACCCATCTCTCTAGGTGTATATAGTAATTGCTATAGCATATGCTTATGTGGATGTCTCTAACTCTGTAGTATCTAGGTGTATCCAAAAACGAACGCTTTCCATCGCGTAGCACAATCATCTTATCCATCTGCCTCGGTATCCAACAGCGCGATCCGAGCGCGCTTCTCTATAACAAAAACAATTTCGCGCACTGAGGCCATGTGCTCCTCGTGCTGCTCAGCCTCCGCCTCCTCCTCCTCCTGTTGATCGTCCTGCTCATTCCGTATCCTTAACCAAGTCCACACTCCACATTCGTCATAATAGTAACTGTCAATTTCTGTATTCTTTCCTTCCGGAGAAGCTTATGGTGCAGCTGGTGGGTTGCGACGGGACGGGATGACATGGGATGGGATGGGATGGGATGGTTGGGAAGCAATCCCTCCAGCCTTTAGACCATCGGCAGACCGTGCTGCACGTCCATCATCTCGTCCTGCGCCGGTGAGGGTCGTGGCGCGAATGTCTGCATGTGGTGCGGCGGCGTGGCCCGTGCAAACATCCCGGATCGCTGCGGATGACCGTGCATGGCCATCGGCGCGTTGGCGCCCACATTGGCCGATGGGAACTGTAGGCGGAAGCTGCAGTCCGGCAGCTGGCGAGGAGTGCGTCGTGGGGAGCGTGCCGGCATCCGGTTGGCCCGATGCATTTCCTCCAGTATCGAGGGCGCTACGTAGGTGAAACCCTGCGAATAAAGATAAAAACCGCAATGAGCACCTTGAGTGGTTTGCCATTTAGAGTGTGACTCGATCGCTCCCCCAAATCCCTGACCCACTTGCTCCACCACCGTGTGTGTGTGCGTGTGTGTGTGCGCAATTGAATTTGGATCGGGCAACTGCTGCCGCACTTCGGTAGTCCAGCTCGATTCGATCCGAATCCCGTCTTGAATACTAATAATGCCCTCCCCTCGCTGGCTGTCGGAGCAGGGATTATGCAAGCCGCCCGCCAGAGCTGTGCTCCATCGATGTAACACACATTTTACATAATTTTCCAGACCCGCCGTGGAGAGACATTAATTAAAAATATATATGCCTTGACGAAATCCACCGGCAAATGCAATAAAATAATTAAAAGCCACCGGCAGCCGCGTGTTCATCCGTGTAAATTCCCCCGGCACGGAGGCTGGACACAAAATGCGTGACGCCGAGTCGAGAGGAGGAGCTGTGCGGCTTGGAGCTGCACCTGTCGCCGCCAGGTGAAATGTACGTGAGATCAGAGTCGCGTTAATTGGAACCGCGACCGACTGCTGACCCACAAAGGCGTCATAATAATTCGAGGTGCGCCGAGCGAGCCAGCGAAGCGAACAGAAAGTTTTCCATTAGCCGCAATAAGTTCTAATAGAATCCCAATTACGCTCTGGATCAGGTGCGAAATAAATCCGCTAGCCCGGCTTCATTAGGCGATTAGCCAAACGGAGATGTGTTAACCGGAAAGGCCAAACAAAGTTTTTGCCAAACAAATGGTAACAGTGTGCTCAGTGGCAACCAGTTTCGTTTTGCAGCGAAAGCCAAGAACCACTTTCTTTAATCTGCACAAAAATCTTTAGATTTCAGTCACACATTGAGTTATGTTATAGTTAGTTATAAAATTAGCCGCTGTTACGACTTATTTAAACATTTTCTTCATTAATTAAACTTTTTATCACCTAATTACGTTGCTGTTTGCGCTGCCTAGAAAGCTTCTGAATTTGTTCACACCTGAATTTGTTTTCCCATCGTCTTTATAAAACGCAATCTTTATAACTACGTTTTCGGCAGTCAAAAGACTGCAAACCCTAATTAGGCAATACTTAACGACATATTTAGCCCACTAATCCCATAAGGCCATAGGCAAAATACACTTTACACAGCTTAGTGAGCCCCAAAACACCAAACGAAAGCAGCCAAGGGTCGTTCGACTCACCTGGTCTGGGCCAACTCAGATGTTTGTAAACAAATAACACAAAATGCGGCTAAGAGAGGAGGTGGGGATAAAGACCACTTGCTCGGTGCGCAATTGGCTTGAAATGCAGCACGGCAAAGAGAGCGAGCAAACCAAAACATGGAGCCGAATCCCCAATCCACTGTCTTGGCCACTTGGCTGCACTCATCGCCAGTCTCACAGAAGCGCTCAAAGCGTTCGGTCAGCTCAGCCAAGCGGAGGAGTTCCAACCAGTCCATTCAAAAAAGAGAAAAATACGCAAAATAAGAAAGAAAACACAGCGAAGAAAAGGCGACTTGGAGTGACTTTCGTGCTGGAGAAAGGCCTAGACCCACGGCACATAAGCACTTCTGATTATTTTGATTTTTGCAAGCCAGGCTGAGCTATTTCAAGCCAAAACGGCCACATTTCACCGATCATTATGCGCTGACATTGATTCTTGGAGCCAACGTGCATTGTCATCGGTGGTTCAGGGCTATCGGGATTGCCAGTTGGTGGACCCAAAAAACCAGTTGAAGGGCAACGAGACCAGCTGAACGCGGAGAGAAACTCGGCGCTAATGCGTCCACGTGCATAAGTCACTCAAACTCATTGAGTCTTTTCCTCCTACTGTTTGGCCAACGAAACTGGGTCGAGAACGAGACTTGGCCACATGCTGCTCAAACTGTGGGTGCGCGGAAGTGTTAAGTTGGTTAGATAAATGACATTGCATCACATAAACAGCCACATAAAGTCACCATAAATGCGCTAACTAACCACAATAAACGAAAAATGTGTAAGAAACCCATGGGTAAAATTGGCAAACGTTCGAGCTGTGTGAAAATAATAACAACGCGGTCCAGTCGATAACACAAAAGCCACGCTTTGTTCGCGAATCGTGGGTAAAAACCAAAAATCAAACAACACAGCCAGCCAATAAATAAACACTAAGCAAGCCCGGCTGCAACAAAAATAAATAAGAAAATAAGCTAAAGTTATATATACGAGTATATACACGAAAATCATAGTGGGCAACACTCGCAAAATGTCCAAGCAGTTGAAAACAAATTCACTTTCGTTGCTGCATTGCATTTCGTTGCTATTTTGTGTGGCAGCGCTGCAGGCGCAGCAAATAATGCAGCAGCAGCAACTGCCAGTTGGTGTTGCAGCGACGACAGCAGCAACATCGCCTGCCAGCAGCAGCATGAGACTCTCGAACGCAACTTCAGATGGTGTCGCCGCCACTTTCATCGACAGCACCAGCAGCAGTGCCAGCAGAAATAACCACATGGTCCAAAACAATGAAAATCCCGCCTCCTTTGACCAGCAGACACTGCAGCAGCAGCAGCAGCAGCAGCAGCAGCAGCAGAAACCACCAGCTACTGTGCAATATGCACATATATCGCCATTAGATAAAGAAGTAGGTATGCATCAACCGAAACCACAATGGATGTGACCAATCGCTGTGTCCCAGGGGTTCCATGCATAGATTACATATTTGGACAACTGAAATATTTGAAACCAAAACAACTGAAAGTTTTGTTTGGGTTCCAGAGAAGACCGAAATCATATGCACTTAGGGAGGCAATTTAAATCGACTGTGGAAAGTGCTCTACAGTAACAGCTTTGTCGTCAGCTTCTCTTAATACTTCAAGCCCTATTCTAATTGCCTATACATCCACCTTAAAATGACAGCACATAAGAACGATTAAGTTATCATTTAGGACAGCGTAATGCCACTTTCATTCACTATTTACCCAGCCCTCTCATTTGCTTTCATCGTGTGACCAAGAGAAATTTCCGTCACGATTTAGTTGGACGAGTCCATCGTTTGGCACTCGCCTCATCAGGCGGCTCCAAGTGCGTATTTATATGGAACAGCGGTAGCCGGACGAGTAATGGTCCGCTCAGCTCGGGTGGCGTTAAATTTTGCGAATTAGCCATTATACCACATTACCGCTACCGACTTGCTCGCCCATATTTTTCGGACTGGCTGTTAGGGCAGTGGAGCGGGTTTTTGAGGAGCAGCACCTAGCCAAGCCGACTTTATGGCTAAACTTCTGGTGTGAAAGTGAAATTTATTACACTTGAATTTGAACAACGAAATTCAGAGTTAGTCCAGTGCCACGGGAAGGGGGCGATGGCCGAACGGGTTGGGTAATTCCATGCGCTAATTAAAAGCCAAGCTAGCCATGCTAACCGTGCCTATCTGGGGCCTTTCCATCTCATTGCAGTCGAGCGCCTGATCAAACAGTGGGCACCGATCGTCTGGCTGGCGCCGGAGGAGAAATTCATGCCGCTTGGCGTGGAGGAGTTTCTGCAGTATGTTCATCCGATGGACAAGGATAGCAGCTTCCGCCCAGGAGTTCCGTTCAGGGAATATTCAACGAAATCCCACCTGGTCACGAACAATGAAATCCAGGAGCTTCTGGGCAACGATCAATCCTTTCTGTACGGACGGAATCCCAATGAGAAAGCGGTGCCCATCTATGGAGTGGTCAACTTGTGTCCATCGACGAGGGCACCGGTAGTGCCGGTGGTGACCACCCCGCCACCCACTACCACACGTGGTGTTTACATTCCCGTGTCCATTGATCCGCTGGAGGAACGCAACGACACTGTTCGGAGATCGTCCAGACTGTTTCCTCTCTTCCAGCGAGTTAAACGAGAGGCACCAACCGCTCCCAAGTACAATCCCCTCAACGAGTACGAGGAACTTGTAATGGAAGCCACCCAGAAGCCCAACGTACAGCAGGATTCCGAGCTAGAGCCGGAGAACGGAGTACCAGTGAACAATTTCATTGCCAACTTGGCGGACAATGTCAAGTTCAGCGGTGGCACAGATCCCGATGACAATCTGGAGGAGAACAGTATTGGCCAGGCCCCCGAAAAGGAGGCGAATACTGGAAAGGGCAAGCTGCCGGGCTTCCATGTAACATACTGGATGTTTTATCCGTACAGCCAGGGTAAGACCATGTGCACGGTGAGCTTGGGTCCTCTTGGAAGGATTCCCTTCCCTGCTGTGTATGGATATTGTCTGGGCAATCGTAAGGATATCGGCAGCCATGTGGGCGATTGGGAGCACATGAGCCTCTATTTTAACGGCGATGCCGAGCCACAGGCCATGTATGTGTCCGCCCACGATGCGGGTGCCTATTACAGCTATAGCCGGTTGACGGGATCCTTTGAGTTCCGGCGCCAGGAGACGCGCAAGGGTATCCTGCAGCGCCCAAACTTTCCCAAGACGGTGACAACCTTCAAGAACCATCCAGTTCTATTTGCCGCCAAGGGTTCACATGGTCTATGGACCGCGCCAGGAAAGCATCGCTTTGTGAAAGTGGCGCGCCTGTATGATATTAATGGATTTGGAACGCCGTGGAACACTTGGAAGGCCGTGGATATAAGCTACGAGAACCTAAGATCCTATGGTGAGAGTTGCTTTACATTTCATGGCCACTTTACTAAGCATTTTTATCTCTCCTAAAAGGTCGGTCGCTGGTGCCCGATTGGCTCACATATCGCGGCAAATGGGGTAATCCCAAGAGCAATTGTCACCCCTTCCGGCGGATCGGTTTGAATTTCTGTGAGTTTACGGATGGACCCACGGGAATTCCACTCAAGGAACCCCACTTTCAATGCGGTGCTGATTATCGCTAGCGACGCAGTCGGTAAATAGGTCTCTTGCCTAGGCTAATGTAATGTATACAAAAGTATTTATTGTGAAAACCACCCAAAAAGATCCCATAAAGATTAAAAATGAATAGAAAATAAAACAAGATAGAATGCTATAGTCGAGTTCCCCGACTATCAGATACCCGTTACTCAGCTAGTGGAAGTGCAAACGAAAAATTTCAACATTTTCTGGAATATCCGTAGAAATTGTGGAAGAAGTAATAAAATGAAAAAAAAAAACTTAAAATTTTTTAAGAGTGTGGACGCGTTTTGTGGGCGTTAGAGTGATACTTTTCAACGAATACAGTCTACCCTTTTACTCTATTATATAATTAAAAAAAAAATAAATTACAAAAAAAGTATTGCGCCAGAAACATTTAGAGATATACTACTTTAAAATCCGATTAAGATAAGTTGAGTTATGGAGTTTACAACTTCAGCCTTGGGGCATTTCTTAATTTTTTTAAATTTCAGCAACATCAAAGAAATTACAAAAAAATTAAAAAAAAAAATAAATGAATTTCTAAATTTAAATGCAGGTTCTTAGAGAATTGCGCCAGAAACATTACATTTAGAGGTATGCCACTTCAAAATCCGATTAGGGTAAGTTGAGTTATGGAGTTAAGAACTTTAGCCTTGGGACATTTCTTAATTTTTTGGTATTTCTACATCATAACATAAACAAAATTTTAAAAGCAATGAATTTTTAAATTTAAATGCAGATTTTTAGAGAAGTGCGCCAGAAACATCTAGAGGTATGCCACTTGAAAATCCGATAAATTTTTTTTTTGAATTTCTACAACATTATGACATAAAAAAAATGGCTTTTTGAAACGCTTCCTTCTGCCTGTTACATACTTTTCAACGAATCTAGCACACCCTTTTACTCTACGAGTAGCGGGTATAAAAAAACGGCTTTCTTGATATTTTGCAACTGCTCTGCTAATAACATTTACATTTTTCTTCACTATGGTTGGACATTTCTCGCTTTCAAATCCTTTTTTATGCCCCAAACACTTTCTCTACTCACTTGGAAAATTAAATTGGCACTTTCGCTTAGCGTCGTATCATCAGGTGAGTCCACTGGAATTTGTCTTGTGAATCTTGTATCAAACTGTGAGACATCGTCCTCGCTTCTCTGTTGTGTTGTAGATTAACATAAATTAACATTTGAAACTTCTTATATCATTTCAGTTGAATGCCACTTACCAAGAGCGGTTTTATAGGCGGTTCGAGGCGTCTGGCAAGCACATCGTCCCAGTTGACGTGTTTGAAGAATGGGTGTATTTGGACAGCCGCCGCATCCTCGGGTCCGCTGCCAAGACGCTGAGGTTCCTGCCGCTTCATCAGGCGACGCACCAGATCCCTGGCTTCCGGTGTGAGGTAGGCTGGCAGATTGAGCTTGGCTTTCAGAATGGTTTCGATGGTCTTCTTGCGATTCTCGGCGGTGAAGGGTGGCTAATCGAATTCAGCAATTATATAAGGATATCCAAAGCAGGCTCGTAGGCTTTTCACTTACGACTCCTGTGAGCATGTCAAACATGAGAGCGCCCAGTGACCACCAGTCGACTGCTTTGCCATGGCCACTTCTGGTCAAGATTTCAGGTGCCCTGTAAACCAATTTACACACACATTAATTTGAAGTTCGCCAGCACCAATGGGAGAAAAATTGAAAGAGGCTTGCGGGCGCACGCACATGTACTCAATTGTGCCGCAGAAGGTGTGGGTGACAATACCCTCTTGTATGTGCTCCTTGCACAGTCCGAAGTCGGTGAGCTTCACGTGTCCCTGTGCATCGAGTAGTATGTTTTCGGGCTTTAGATCGCGATAGATGATGCCCAGTTTGTGTAGATGGCCCAATGCCAAAATGATTTCGCTTAGATAGAAGCTGCCAAAACGAAGGAAAATGTAAGTATTTATCTGCATATTCGATATTCAATTAATAGCTACCATGTGGTATCCTCCAAGAAGATGCCCTCGCGCTCCAAATGCATGAACAGCTCTCCGCCGCTGAGATATTCAAGTATAAGGTATAGTTTTCCGTCTGTCTGGAAGGCATAAACTAGCTCCACTATGAAGGGATGCTAAAGGAGATAGAGAAATGCTGTTAAGAGGAATGGGAAGACAACAATCCGTGACCGATCGCACCTTGACTGCCTCGAGTATATTGCGCTCGGCGCGGGTGTGCGCTGTGTCCTTTTGATTGGTCACAATGGATGCCTTTTTGAGCACCTTCATGGCAAAATATTTGTTGGCATCTCGTCCAGCGGTCTTGCGCACCTGAAATACCCAGATTTTTAGTGATCCGCAAACGGGATTAGTGGATATTTACTTACCTGAAATACTTTGCCATAGCCACCTTTGCCAAGTACCTTCTTCAGCTCAAAGTCCTTGGGTCCCAGCTTGATTTTACCTGGATTGACATTCTCCTCGCAAAGCTGTATGGTCTCCTGGCCCTCAGTGCTATTAATTGGGAATGAGGAATTGGGTATTGGGGTTAGGGGACTGATTTAATTGTTGTCTTCTGTGCGATGGTGTTTGCGTCTGTGTCGTCTATCGTGGGAAAGGAGCAGCCCACGTGCTATAAATAAATCCCATGGCGTGCACGCGCCAATCATCACCTCCATTCTGGTCCGAGCAGCTCCTCCCTCCCCCTCCGCGTCCCCTTTCACTTCCCCTACCACTTCCACTCCCAACCAGCTCTCGCATTATTGCCGTCGAGTGTTTGCCGTGAGTCTTGTTTACACACCGAACTAGCTGGCTCATTGAAGAGGCGGCCAGGGGCCGAGTGACAGCTTGTTGGTAGTCAATAGCAGTTGTAAACACTTCTGGGTCCGTCCGATAGTCCGTCTATTGGTCCCTTATCGTCTCGATTTGCACCCGGAGTCCACCAGGCGGAGGTGCGTCTGGACGGGATCAGGCTCTAAGCCAAATCAATCATATGCTATCACTGCCAGCGTTCACGTTTACGTTGTGTAAACAAGTTTGAGCTGATAATTGGCAATTAGGCTGTTCATTTGCCCGGCTTTATCCATTTTTATCTGCTCAGCTGGCTGGAGAGGAAGTCTGATCCGATCTGGCCTCCGTATCTACTACCCCGCATTCTCCGAAAATCACAGTCACGTCCTCCGATGAGTCGGCGATGTGGCATAGCACTTGCATTACTCACTCTTGGTGCAGATTAATACACAATTCCGGTTCTAGGTCAACCTGCAAATGCCAAAAAGAGAGGGAGAGGCGTGTGAGTGAGATGGCGTCAACTTGCGAGCATAACTGCCAGCGGAATACATGCGAAAAAATCAACAATTAATCATAGTTATTGCGAACATGGGAGCAAACAGCAGAAAGGAAAGTTACACAGCAGCGGGCACCAACGAAGACGAGAGGCCCTAAATCTAACAGATACTTAAAAATCAGCCAATGCCAGCGGTAATATATAGGTTGCTTTAAGCTCTTGACCCACAATACCACGAATTATACCACGAATACTACAAATGCTTTCTAATATATAATAACAATCCTTATCTAAACTAAATAATCACAAAAAATTCCTCCAAAATCAGTTCTAAAATGGCTTTGCCGTAGATGCCTCAAAGTTCATTAGTAATAATATTAAAATCAAATTTTTGCGGTTGTATATTTTAATTTGGCATCCTTAATCCCTATTCGGTGATGCCCCACTTTTCCGTTGGGTAAAGCCCAACAGAGCCCAGCAGAGGGAGATTCCGATGAATGGAGAGATCGCATCGGAGCAGACCCCTGTCTGGGTCGCTCTGGCATCTCGGATGGCATCCGTCTTTGGAGTCAGTTTCTTCACCCTTCGATCTGCCCACTCCCACGGAGGTATTCGTATATACACAGAGAGAAAGAGCGTGGCATCCACAGAGATGTACATTTGTACACTTTCCGCACGCACACACACCTTTTCGTTAATGACAAACTAAATATAGAACTCGGAACAATGCCAAATAATCTGCCGGCGATGCTGGCGCTGGTTCCTCGCCCCCTCCGGGTCCATCTCACCTAACGGATGCGGCGGTTGCTCCAATCGGGGGAAGGCCACAGTTAGGGGCGGCAGAATCAGAAGAATCAACAGCAGCCGCAGCCGCCGCCGCCGTTCTCGTCATGCCTAAAATTTGTGTAGAACATTTTTGACTAAAGTTCAATTGAATGGCGGGGCATCGGAATCGGAATCCGCATCTCGACATCTCGTCGCTCAGCACATTAAAAACTGGTTCACCTCGTCAGCGTTGGCGGTGAGGTGAATTCCAATTAACAAATCCATCATAATTTATAGCGCTCACACAAATTGAGTAGATGGTCGAAGGAAGGGGTGTGCGCGCTTGCGTAAATCACGCAAATCGACTGGTCTTTGCGATATAGTAGTAGTGATAGGTTCTTATCAACACCCAACAAGATTTCTCCAGCAATGTGAGAGCCAAAGCCAACTACACACGAAACAAAATCATGTTACCTAAGAGCTATTCTGACTTTTTTGAAGTAGAGTGTAGTGTTTCAGTACTGTTAAATAATGACTACTCAATTTTTTCTAAAAATAAATCAATTGACGTCATGGTATGACGGCATAAATACATTGTAAATTACTTATATTTCAGGCAACTTTGTAAAATTTTAAATTCAAATTATGAGTTTCAATCATTTGCATTGGCCAAATTACATTTATTGCTATTAAATTTCTCAACTATTTTAGTTAGCATTGAATACAGGAAGTAATTGAGCATTTTAATGCAAACTAATCAATTTAAGACCCACTCGTTAGCACAATCATGTAAAATTTTTCGAGTAATTTGTCTTTTAATTAGTAAACATAAATTTAGCCGCAAGTTCCAGCAACAAATGAGCCATTACTTAATAACCTCATGGCATCTAACATAGAAATATTATTTTTCAGTGTACTTTGGTGCTGTTACAACTGGTTCCATAAAGCACCTCCCTAAATATGACGGCTTGGCACGATCGCTCAATTTCCTCCCACTTGGCTGTGCTGCCTTATCGGCGCGGTGAGGTTTTTCTCATTTTCTAATTTTATATGGCACGCTGATAAGGAATTTCGTTTTCTAAGTGGAAGCGCAAGACTCTTCCGAGGGTGCGAGTGAGTAGGTGATCGTTTTCGGCCTCCGTCTCCTTCGCACACCACCTTTGCAGTTGTTGCATTATCAGCTGGAGGCAGGGGCGGGCAAGAGGGGGGCTGCCATGGAGTGTGGCGGGCAATTGGGGCTGATTAGTTTGAAGGACACCACCACTGGCTTCGATTGAGCAATATCAATCGATGGTGCGATGGTGGTTTCATAAGCAGGAGGTTCTCGGATCGGGTCGAACTTTTGGTACAATGAGTGTAATGAATACAATGAGTGTGCATGTGCTGAATAATGGGCGACTAGAGTGAATGACGCCAGACATTTGCGCAGCAGATAGGCTCGGTTTGCAGGGTGTGCGGTTAGTGGATGGATATGCTGGTTTGGGGGTGTCGAATCGGGATGCCCAGACGACCGAAAGGAAAGGACGGGAAAACTCGCAGACAAAGCGCAGAAAAGGTAAACAAAGAGTGGAAATTGTTGCTGCGCAGTTTGCAACGAGAAATGGGGATGGCATTGCATGGAATGGGGCCGATATCTTACGTCGTCCAGCTCGATCCTGTCGTCGTCGGAGTCCCTGGCCTTGTCGTCCTGCAGCTCCAGGTCGTGCAGCTCCAGGTCGAACAGCTCGCTGGGATCGCTCACGTCCGCCATTGCGTGTGGGTGTGTGTGTGTGGGTGAGTGCGATTCCGTTTGGATATGGGATGTGGATCGCCACTGGTCCGCTGCTCCTGAAGTGGGCGCTCCTCTCGCGGGGCGGAAGCGTTGGCGTTTTATTTTAGTCTCTGGCTATGAGTCCTCCTATTCAGCTGCTTCAGATGGAATAGCAGAGTATAGAACAGAACGGAACGGAACAGCAGCGGTGCCGATTTCGTGGCTTTCGTCGTGGCCCGAAGGTTATTGTTTATTAGTTAATGGCAATACAAATACACACACACATGGGGGCACACGCACCAACACCAACACCAACACTGCGACGCACGCACAACGCACCCACACTCACGCACACAGACACTGCGCTTAATGCCCTGCCCACGCGCGCCCTTTGAGTCCGCTGATGTGCAGGAAAACGCAGTTGTTCGCGAACGCCTAATCGCAGTGCAGTAATCAGTAATTAAAATGCACTTTTTTCTTTGTTTGCGAGTGAAACACGAGGTGATTTACTAAGTGTGCCCAGTCGTGCGCTAACCGCCAAGTGCTAGAAATTACCGCGTGCCAACGGATGGCAATGCCCTCGAAAGGAACTTCTGTCAGTATGACCGTAGCAAAATAAGCACGCGCTAGTGGAACAAAGGCCAACGTACAAGTCGTTTAATTTATTTATTTTATGTAGGCAGTCATAGCACTAGCAATAGCAATAGCCGAGTCATGCGCACCGGCTCGCCCAGCAGCAATGGCTCCCAGTCGGAGGAGGGCAGCAGCTCCTCGGATCACCAGCAGCCGCAGCAGGAAGACCAGGAGCAGGAGCAACAGCTGCATACACCCACGCATGCACACGCGGTGGTGCCAGCTGCCACATCGGAGGAGATCCAGGCGGAGTACGGGAGCAACCTGAAGCTGCTCGAGTGCAATTCCCAGGTGGCCGAACTGCTCACCATACTGCGGGACAAGTAGGTGGACGTTTGTGGTAGGGTGTCCGCAACCCCGGCTACTACAATTCTATCCGCAGGAATACCACCCGCAGCGACTTCAAGTTCTACGCCGACCGTCTCATCCGGCTAGTCATTGAGGAGTCGCTCAACCAGCTGCCCTACACCCATTGCGATGTGGAGACACCCACCGGTGCGATTTACGAGGGCCTCAAGTACCGCTCCGGCAACTGCGGTGTGTCCATAATCCGTTCGGGAGAGGCCATGGAACAGGGACTTCGCGACTGCTGTCGCTCCATTCGCATTGGCAAGATCCTGGTCGAGTCCGATGCCAATACGCATGAGGCCCGTGTCGTCTATGCCCGCTTTCCCGATGACATCGGGAGCAGGCAGGTGCTACTCATGTATCCCATCATGTCGACTGGAAACACTGTGCTGCAGGCGGTAAATGTGCTGCGGGAACACGGCGTACCCGAGAGCTGCATCATCCTGTCCAATCTATTCTGCACTCCAATGGCCGCTAGGACCGTGGTGAATGCGTTCCCCAAGCTGAAGATTCTCACCTCCGAGCTACATCCCGTGGCACCCAATCACTTTGGCCAGAAATACTTCGGTACAGATTAGATTTTTGGGTCTATCATGCAGACTTGACGACTAAGCGCAGCTTAGGATAGGTAGCTGTCTTCCAGACAAACACCTTTCCGTTTCGTCCCACTAACAGAAGCTACCCTCTCACTCTGTTTCGTCCACCAGATAGCATTTGAACTAAAGAGAAATGGACGACCCCTGCGGCCAACCAAACCACAACTTAGCAATTGTTAGCTTTTCACAACTGGCTTTTAATGCAACTCTCAAATATGTTACGTTCGTTACGCACTATTGTAAATATAGAAACGAAATAAATATTTAAACACTAGGATGAGGCGGTATTGCCTTCTAAGTGCTCATCTTGTAGTTGACCACGGTGTCCACCTTGTGCAGTCCAGTGGAAAAGGAGCGCAGCTGGACGGCCTGCGGATTCTGAATGACAATGGCACCCGTTTCGTCCCATTTGGCCGGCAATTCGGTGTTCTGCAGCGTGTGTATCATAACGTCGAAGGTACAGATGCAATCGAGCAGTGGAAGATAGCTCACGGTGGCCGAGATCTGGCGCATAACGTCGCGTATCTCGTTCTGGATGCGACTCAGCTCCTTGGTGGTCGTAAGCTTGGTGGGATCACTGCTATCACCATCGCCCAACTCAGCCTGCATATTGAAGTCCCAGCACTCGAGCACCTCCTTGCTGTGGGCGTTGGTAATGACCATCGAGATCTTCTTGATCATGTTCTTGGAGAGCCATTCTATTCGTAAAGTCATTATCATTCGTGGTCATTTACAAACGTGCATTTCACCCAAAAAACCACTTACCTTCGGTTTGACTGAGTACGTTCTCTAGAAAGGTCTGGATCTTGGGATCCTTGGACATTAGTATAGTCAGTCCATACTGCTGGGTGTTGTTAAAGTCCTCGGCTGGGTAAATTCCGCGTTGGAAAAGGATCGAATTGATGCCGTACTCTATTTTGCGAAAAAAAAGAGGAAAAACCAAAGGAGACGCCATTACAGGCGGGCTGACTGACGATTTCGTGTCGTTGCTATCTACTTACTCAGGTATTCCACAATAATCTGTGCGGATCCCTTGAGTGTGATGCAGTTTTTGGTTGCCTGGGCAGTTGACATGTTGCTTAAAGTCGATTTTAATGGCAGTGAAATGAACAATTTGCACAATTGCCGCTATTTTTGAAAGCTGTTGACTCACAGAGATGACAGAAGCTCGATATACAGGCGAGGCGTTTGACTGTATCTATCGATTGATAGCGGTGTGAGTCGTTGCTAAATGCAGTGTATTTCGATGTTCGCACGACCAGGGATGGTGGAACCAGGGCAGGCTATTCCGACCAGTGCTGCCAAGTAGTTCAATAAGGGCGGCAAATTTAAATCCAACCGTTGTCTTGCAAAAATGAAACAACACAGCAATTGATTGCAACAAATTCAGAATTTTATTGGCCATCCTTGTGTAAACTAAATCTAAGCATGAGATCCATTTCTGAGCGCAAAAGTCCACGTGGTTCGGCTTAACAGGGTCCCTCCAGTTCATCGCATGCCTGCCAAGAGACTAAAACAAGACGTTGATATAGCCAAAACAATAGAGGACCCAAGTAAACTATGCTATCCAAAACCTTGCTCGGTTCGTCAGAGCTTTGATTGCTGCCGTCTGATTTGTTGGTTGTGGGTGGGGGGAAAAAAACAGCAAAAGCAGAGCAGCAAATCATAAACGAAGTAGAAGTAGAAGCCACAGAGAACAAGAACAGAAAATCAGACCAAATCAAAAAGCAATCGATGTTTGTAAAATGTGAATTATTTGCAAGTTTTTAATTAAGTTTTTTCTTACGCATCGTTTTGTTTGTTTTTGTTTTTTTTTCGTTTTTGTTTGTTTAATGTTTTGTTTTAAATTAAAATTAAACTTTACATGGTATTTTTGGTATAAATCTTTCAATAATTAAATATATAAAAAATTTGCCACTTAAAATAACTAAAAATAATCTCTACGCACTTTCTCGCTTTACGCTTAGCCATAGAAACTGATGTCAACATACACAGGTGAAAAAAAAACTAATTTGCCATTTTACATATTTTGGTGTTAAAATTGCGCAAATTAAAATCGAGGACAAATAAAATAGTATTTCGAAATTAAGTAGCTCCATAGTGTGTCTGTGTGGGGTGTGTGTGTGTGTGTGTGCGGGTGTGTGTGGGCTTATATCTATAATTACGTTTAATTTAGGAGTAATTAAATACAATAAATTACGGTTAAAGAAGGGCTTGCATTACCTTAGTTGAAATGTACACAAAACTTATCGTTAGTTAAAACGAGAGCTATTTACAGGATTTCTTACAAAGTTCTCGGCTACGTCAACCTTTGTTATCAATTTAAAAGTATTGTCTATGATACAACAACAAAAGCGCAACAGTGTCAAAGTCAGGGTCGAATCGGTAATGCTTTGCTCTCGAACTTTGAACCTCAAACTTCGATCTTAGATTTTATATTTCGTATAATAAATAAATTAAAATTCTGCTCAGATTTCATACATCAGATTTATACATTTCAGATATTCTGTCACCGTGCACAAAAACAAACGTAGCTAAAGTCAGTCTGGATCTGGAACTTTTCGCTCGGGAAGAAGGAACTCTCTAGGCGAGGGGAATTGTACGAATTTTGAAATGTTTTCTGTTTTCGGATATGTTTTCATTGTAGTTGCAAACTTTGAGAACGGTGATGGGTTTTTGGGCATGGTCTGCTGGTGCAACAAATTCTCAAATTTTTTTTAATAAACGTAAAAAATTACGATTGTCGGCTTTTGGAGTGCAGGGAGTCGATTTTTTGTTTTTTGTTTTTCGTTTTGTTTATAAAATCATAAAAATAATGAAACAAAATTCTATGCATTAATAGTCGTTATTTAAGGTATGTATTTGGCCGTAGATTGCAACAAAATATCTGTGAAGAGATTAAATTATAAATAAAATTAAAAATTAATCTTTCAGTTCTTCATTTACTGCTAACTAAAAGCTGGCTAACACCATTTCCACAATTAGGGGCAACTACAAGCATCAAATTGCGCTCTCAAATGAAAAATTCCATGCAGTAGGATATTGAAGAGAAGGTCTTTAGCAAGAACTACATGAAAAGAAGTGATTTGATTTGCATTTTTTTGGTTCATTCGAGCTCAAGATCTCACTTTGCCGTGGAGTTTACACTTAAGGAGGAAACGAGCACAAACTAAGGAAGTAATAGTGAACAGAGTTACCCAAATCGGAAACGCAGGAGATTAGTGAAAAGAAAAAATACAAAAAAAAAACAATCACCAAATAAAAGTAAACGAGGAGCAGAATGAAATTGTTGGTTTGTTTGATTTGAATTGGGTTCTTTCCGGTGGAATTTTTTGGTTTGTCAAAATCTACAGCCAACTGTTAATGTCTAATAACGAGTAGTAGCTAAAATTAATTAAAAATCATAAATTATAATGGGTTATT